TAGATCCTTTAAATTGCTAATGTTGATAATTTGTTGTATAAATAATAACAGTAGCAAAATTGTACAATGTTTCAGTCGCAGTAGCTGGCTCGGATGTTGAAGAACAAGAGAAGATTTATGAAACACTGAATTCAAAATTTGATGCTACAGCACTACTTGGTTCCTCAATGCCAGTGCGAGATCCACCATCTCCACCGTTACAACGACCGCCACCGCTACCTCCACGCAAGATGTGGCAACATGAACATCCAAATTCATCAGATAGCGAAGACAGTGACTGCACTGACAGTTTTGAAGAAGAAGATGATGAGGATAATGAGGATAATGGTGATGATGATGGTGAAGAACCAGCCTACAAGAAATACCAGCAGTCTCTCTATATGAAGCAACTATCCAGAGGTCAAAGGTAACATTTTTTTTTTATGTTGTTTTTTGTCTATTTTTCTTGTGCCCTAATATTGAATTCCAATTGTTGAACCAATTTCTGGAGCCATCAATTCACAGCCAGTGACTAGATTTTTCGAGGACATTTAGGTTATTGTTATGAATGATGTCCCTATAGGTTCTTGGATCAGATTGGATTTCTTGGGTGTACTTTGAATTGTGGGTTCATTCAATTCACTTGAAATACATTAACAATTCTGTCAATTTTTTTTTTTCATTTTCAGAGAAAAAGAGCTTTTTCAGTTAGCTCTGCGTAAAGCATATGCACATTCGTTTGAAGCAGTCAATGAAGTTCAAGAAAATCAGGAAAGTCCCTCAAAGAATCCATCAAGTTCAACAACGACTATAAGATCCTCAGACTCAGATGTGTCATCTAAATCTACTCGTTCAATAAAGTCTCGGGCCTGTCGTATCATGTGACCAACTCATTTGTGTCTTCGTCATGCAGGCAAAATTCACTACTCTACCATGGGATGAGCAGTACTTTATCATGTGATAAATAATTGTGGTGTACGGTAAGAATGGCCCCGGAAAAAATGGCCCAGAGAAAAATGGCCCAGGAAAAAATGGCCCCGGTAAAAATGGCCCCGGTAAAAATGGCCCCAAATGACAGGTAGGTAAAAATGGCCCCAATAATAAAATTCTGTATTAAAACTGATTTTTTTAAAAATCATTATATGCATTTTTTTAAACTGAAATAATTTAGTTTTTAAAAGGAATCTAACATCAAATAAATTGCCATTTACATTTTACTTTTTGCAGAAATTACATATTCAATGATAAAATATTCAAAGATAAAAAAAAGCTTCTTTTTTTTTCTACTTCTTTGAAGTCACTAGCAGAACATTTATTGAAGAAAAGTAAGCCTCTCCTTTTTCCCATACATGAACTTGTCATTCAAACACACAATTGATCCACATGCTTTAACTACTGTTTATTTGCACTGTTTATAACATGTAAAGTTATTTCATTTGATACTTAACAAAAGTGGATTTTGTGGTTTATCTATGAGTTGCATATTTTGGTAGTTGAAGTACTGTATGTTGTCATTCCTCTACTTTATTAGTGGAATAACGTTTTTAAAACTTATTTCAACTATCAAAAAATGTTCAATGGCCATTGTTTTCTGATAATCTCTCAGAACATTATTTGCATCTGTTGTGTAACTGTATTTGTTATTGATTCAATTCTTGCTTATTAGTACTGTATTTAAATATTTGAAGATTTAAAAAAAAAATATAATTTCTATTACTGAATTTTTTCATTGGGGCCATTTTTACCTACTTGTCATTTGGGGCCATTTTCACTCGGGCCATTTTTACCGGGGAAATTTTTTCCGGGGACAATTTTTCTTGGGCTGTTTTTACTGGGGCCATTTTTACCTACATTGGTGTGATCAGTAGTACTGTACCATGTGATCAATTGTGTACAAACTGTACCATGTGATCAACAGTACCATCCAAAAATATCTTGTGATGAACAGTGATGTATCATAATATGATGAACATGACTGTACCATGTGATCACAATACTGCATCATGTGATAAAAAGAAAAGAATGATGCGATCAATGTAAACTGTTATTGATGAGTGAATATATAGCTTCAGAATTCAAGTTCTTAACTTCCAGTCTTATCACTGGTTCAATCTACTGCCTGATAGTCTATAGCATTAATTATGACCATTCTGCCGTAGCAAGTGTGCATGCTGGAAGATATGCACAAGAAAGAGTAAAGCCACAATCGCACTGGACTTTTTTTGGTAAAACTAACCAACACGTTGGCTAGTTTTACCATAATTAGTCCAGTGCGAACAGCACAGGAAGTTTACCTGACAGGAAACTTACCCAAGCCGCGC